CAGAGCAATTAACCGGATCTCGCTAGCACAGATGTTGAACAACATAAGACAGCTATCGCCTAAGACTTCGTCTGGTTAAAAAAAAACTGAGTCTATGCGCTTTTCCAGGCTGTAATCTATCTCTGTTTCATCTTTTTTGTTTAAAGAGAATTTACGTTGTAGTCACACTAGTGTCAGTGCAATGGATCTCTGGGTTCAGAGTGTTTTTTTTTTGTAATGGTGTTTTTTCTTTAGAAATAAACTATATCGGAAATTTGAATTTATTTATTGTTATTACAACTTACAAGCACGAGTTCTATATCTTAGTAACAATAATTACTATATTTACCGAATCAAAAAAATCTTTCAAACTTGGTAGGAGACAATGATAGAAAGCAAATAAAAGAAGCAAGTTTTAATTATATGTCTAGTTTGTCTTTTTATGAGTTGCTTATTCAAGTTGTTCGTCCATTTTTAAACCTACTTAAGTAATCATTACAAATACAAAGAGAGCCCATTGATATACTGGTATTCTAAAAGTTGTAAAAAGTACACAAAGAATGTACACACCCGATGAATACTATACACATCACGTTACGCCGGATCCTGTCTTCTTTAGTGGAGTACTTTGTTAGTATCTTTAAAACACTTGGATAACCTTTGCAGCGGAGGTAACGCAAAGATTTATTCAAGTGTTGTGAAGAAACTACAAAGTTGTTGTTTCTATGTCTTTTATTCGTGGAGCATCCTTCCATCTCTTCTTGTAATATCTCGGCTTCAGACTGTACAGACAGTACACAAGTACAAAGTAAACACGTTTATAATTTATTGTCTATTATCTAGTTATCTAAATTATATGTTGCAATTAAATGAATGAGTTTCAGTGGTGGAAAATATTCTTATTAATAGCAAAACTTAAATTTGTTGTTATTAAATGTTTCTCGAACAAACTGAATTTGGATTACCTGTGAAAAATACTTTGTGCTGGTGGTAAGGTTATGTTGCGTCATACGTGGTGGTTACCACGATTAACACATACGAGTACATAACTTGTTGGAAACCCACTCGTCTCGCTCTGCTTCATGTGGGAGAGGAGAGGAGGGGCGATGTACATGATCGTGAAAAGATGTACGTTCCATAATAAGTTCATGAGAGAAGTCAGGCTAGAGTTTTAGGAAACATACGCGTACACATAAACCACTCACCAATGTTTTTAAATCCTGTTTAACTTACAATACTTGCATGTTGCATTTCTTGCTGCTGCAGATTGTATTAGAACCTTCGACATCTTTAATTGGTGCTAATTGAATGGTGATACAATATGGCACCAAATAAAGTTTCCCAAAGTTGTAATAAGCTAACGAAGTGATCCTCTTCCGCCTGTTTATTAAATTTATTACTAAAAGTATTTTATGAAAGATATAGCTTGGCATCATATAGTCCTTACTTTAGAATTGTCAGAATGTTGGTAGTGCTGTGAAATTCAATTAAAGTTGTAAGTTGACAAACATTAAAATAAAAGGACTAATAAACATAGTTCTTATACTCACCTACGAGCACGAAAACTGACTTGAGCAATTTATAATTCTGAGATGCGTGTTTTGATTGTAAGCAGTGACAACTAGGAGCGAAGCCGAATCTGGAGTTTTATGACCTCTATCATTA